TCTTCAAAGGATTCAGTAGGTAAAATAATTTCTTTTTGTGATATTAGTTGATTCTGAGTAATAGTTAGTTTAGAGATGCTAATAGACTTGAATTAGTCCTCTTAGGATCATTTCTTTTCTTTGATCTTTTTTGCCTTACTGCTTGTACTTTCTTCCAAAACTGAATCAGTTAATTTGTTAATTCTAGCATTATCTATCTTATTTTCTAGTACTGTAAAAGCAGAATTATATTTATTTTGAAAAGATGGTTTCATTAGAAACTCTAAATCTGTCATATTTTATTCATCTATATTATTTGTACTCAAATAGGAAAGTAGGACTGCTGAATAGTTTCGTTCAATCCTTCCCATTTCTTGCCCTCTCCAAATCTGATATAAATGAGAAGTTGATACATAAAATATTTTTCTTAATTGATCTAAAGGCTTGAACTTCATATCTCAGTATTGCATAATATTTTCGTAATCTGACATAGATAATTTTATAATATCAGAGTGCATATATCTTCTGGGTAGTGGGTTAATCATATTAGTAACCAATCAGTTAATCAGATTTTATTACTGTATCAATAATAAAAAATGTGTATATAAATTAATAATACTATGCAAGCTATAGACACTATCAAAAATATGCAGAGAATCAGTATTATGTGAAATATTAGAAGGATTAATAGTTTGCAAAGTAAACAAACTATCTGCAGCATTAGTAAAAAATATACATATTATATATGAAGGTAATAGTATAATGCAGAGTATCAGGAGTATCAGAAGTATCAGTGCTATACGTAATACTGGACTATCTATTTTTCAAAAAAATAAATTTTACTTAGAAAATGGTTAGGTAAAAATTTTGCCTAGTCAATTGCTAGAAAGTTTGGCATATAAATTATTATACTTTCTATTTCTTTATCCTAGTTAATATTTTGCCTTAAGAAAGGATCAGGAAAATATTCTTGTCTTTACTAGATTTGATATATCTAATTTTTGATATTTTGTATTTTTTAGCTAAAACTGATGATATATTCTTTTCATCTTTAGAATTTATAATATCACAGTATGCTTTGGGTAAAAGACGGATTACATCAGATTTTAGATATCTACATATAATTCTTTTTATCAGCATTACTTATACTTAATATCTTTTCTTCTCTCTACTTTATAGACAGCCTATAATTATATCTAATGTACACACATTAAGAGATATTGAAAATAGAGATCATTGGCTTGATAGCATTTGTGAATCAGAACTTAAGAAAGTATTATGCAGTAACATTAAAACTGCTTCTAATATTGCTAATGAATATAAAAACCTGCAGGATATACATTTAGAGTAAGTGAAGGATTCTGTTCTGACATTAATAATAAGTTTAACCAACTGGATGCGATCAATACTAAGCTTAAATCTAAAACTAATTCTGATTAGATGATTCACATTGAGCTTGAAACTTGAATAAAATCACTCAAATCAAATATTAAATTACTAAAGAGAGAGGCATCTTTGGCTCAGAAAGCTTCATTTGTAAATAAGGTCAAGATTCTTTCTTTTGAAGCTAAAGTAATTGAATTAGAAGGTAAGTTAGATAACTTGGAACTAAAGCGTACATATCATGATTAAGATATAATAGAAGAGGTGGTAGACAAGCCAGTCTAAATAAACTCATCTGAAATAGAATTCCTTAGACTTGAACTGAAGCGAGCGAATGAGGACCTTAATTCAAACAAACATAAAATAGAATGTATAGAAAAAGGGATAGAATCCCCAAATAGTATGTATAAATAGAAAATAGATATTCTGTTTTCTAGGCGATTAAAGTTAATAGATAAAAATAGATCTCTCAAGTACCAGTTAGTGCTAAAGAAAGATACTTCATCTTAAATAATTTTGAGGGAAAATGTTACGAAATAATTAGATGATGCAGAAGTAGTACTATTATTTCAAGAAATGCTTTTAGCACTAGTGACTGTTCATATCATTATGAGTTCTCTAATGTCACTGATAGTAGCATATTCCATATTTATCTTATTTATGATTACAATTATATGATTCGTTAGAAAAAAAATATGGAATTTGTGAAAAAAAAGTAATACTGAGTATTTTTCTAATTGGAACTATTTTTTATCATTTCTGGATATTTCTGAGGCTGAGCTGTATGATCAGAGATTAGAAGTTTGAAAATAAAAATTGAAGTTAGCTAGTATTATTGTACAAGAAAAAATATAAATAATATTATACAAAGCATCTTATGACTAAATTTTCTTATCTAAAATACCAGACCTCACTAAGAGTACTTAACCATATAATTTAATAATCTTGTCTATATCCACTTTAGATAAATCATCTTTTTTATCATCCTGTAATTTTGATAATGTTTGATAGTATGCCATTTCTAAGCCAACTACTTTGTATCATATGTTTCACAAATCAGCTAGTAATGTACATCCATGTTCTTGAATATATGTTAACATATATTTTTCTATTGTCATGACTTTCGATTTGTGCTTACTAGCCTTAGTAACTAATTTATACATTTCTTCTCTGTATCCTATATTATCTTGAAAATTTTCTGCAAGTAATGTTATTAGCTTTATACAGATTGATTCCTCCTATTATCTAATTCGCTGAAAAAGAAAGACCAATAAGCATCATTTCATGAGTATTTTATTATTCTATCATTATAAGTGATATTATATAAAATTTTCACATAAATATGTGTTTCTTTCCATAGATAGGATATGATAGTCTCATCTTTTTTAGACCATTATGTAGGTCTTTGATATATGCTTTAATTTACTTCTTAGCTGATTTCTGCGTTAGGTTATCTTTCATGTTTAATACTTCATCTTCATCTAAATCTTTACTATCTTTTGATTTTCCTATGAATTTAAACAATGGTTAGTATCTATCATCATAATTGATAAAACGTGTATAGAGACTTATCATGCTGCTCTTTAAATAATAAATAATATCAATTTTTTTATTAAATCTCTTTACTACATTTTATTTGTTGATTTCTTGTCATAATAATCAACTAAATATACTTAAAACGCTCGCCTAGTTTTGGGATTTCATAAAAATAAGACTTGGATAAGGTTGTTAGGTAAAATTAAGAGTTTAAATAGATATCTAAATGATAAAGGTAAAACTTGGTTAAATTATATTAAAATCTTATTAAAAAATTTGCAAAATTTAGAAAAAGTAAAACTATATCAAAGCTTATAAAAATGATGAAATTATATCAAACTTTTAGTAAAAATTTAGTGAAACTAAAGGTTTAAACATTTAGCCAAATTCAAAATGAGTTTAGACAAGCAACTTTAGACTTAGGTGTTAGGTTCTTTTTATAAACTGTTTAGCATTAGCTACTTTATGGATATGATATGAAACTTCTCATACTTGCTAAAATCTAAGAAGCAATTAACCAAACAGTATTTGAAAAAAAGACACAATCAAACCTTTAATTTTTAAATCCTATCAATCTGAAATAAATACTTCTAAAAAGCTTATAAATTCAATTAATATAATTAGTATAACCCAAAGATTATGTCTAAACTATCAAAGCAATTTTTATTAGTATTTAATAACCTAAAATTTTGTATTAATCAGATCAGATCAGATTATTTAAAAGTATTGGATCAATTTGGTTCAGATTGACATTTTTTGGATTTATAATCCAAATCAAACTAAACCAAAAATTATTTATAGAATAAAGCACTGAACAGATTTGTTATCTATATCAGACTTTCATACATATATTTGAATTAATTCACTAGGGTCTACTTGGGTAATATTATTTAGTCACTTGAAGCCCATCTTCTACAATCTGATACATAGTATGAGTATTATCCAGCTTCATAGATTTTTTCATAATTACTTTACCCATCTTGCGAAATATTTAGACTGCCTTCACTTTACAATCTTAACTCCCTAAATGAAAAGCTCATTATTAAAGTTCAGCTTTCTTATATGTAAAATATTGTAGTATTTCTTCTTTCCAGTAAATACTACTGGGAATAAAACTTCTTTATATGCTATTTTGTGATAAAAAGAACTAAAGATAGTTCCCATAATTATTTTTAAAATTTTTAACTAGTTGCAACTATTTATGAATTTTTATATTAAAATAAATTTACAAGGAGTTGTAACTTACCGAGTTGCAACCTTTTAATTATGATGCACATCTTTAAAAAGAACCATTATTTTTCCTGAGAAAGTTATTAACATCATCTCAAAGTTTTCCAATTACTTTTATAGAAATTTTCACCATTCTAGACTAATATTCTTTTTTTAAGATCCTATTGCTATAAGCCTTATCACATTTCTGAAAGCATTTTTCTGGACAATTAGATATAAGAAATCAGTATCATATTTTATCTGGAAACTCTTGCTTTTAACAAAATTTGCAACAAGTTTAATATTTCTCTGTTTAGTAGATGTAATATTCTCAACAAGTTTACGCAAGAAGAAAGGTGACTTATTATCTCTAGTTGTACTATAAAATGAATTCATATATACCTTAAGAGCATTTATTTCACATTTAAGTAAGAATTAAAGATGATTCCCATAATTATTTTTAAAATATTTAACTAGTTGCAACTTAAGTTGCAACATATTGAGTTGTAACATTTTATGAATTTTTATATTAAAATAAATTTACAAGGAGTTATAACCAAGTTGCAACTTCTTAATTATAGTACTCATCTTTAGTAAGAATAGTTGAACAAATTGAATTGTATTCTGTTATAGATTCATGCTTTTCTATATTAATAAAATAGTAGCTTTTCGTTAAAATTATCACATTTTTTTCCTTTATATTTGCTAAAACCTGCTCGATAACTTCTGGTAATAATAAACCTTTGCTTATTAAACCTATTACCAGTTTCATGTTTTCTTTTTATCTTTTAGAGAAATGAGACCTTTTTTCATCTCAATCCATTTATCATATAAATATTCCAACACATTAGCACAAAGATCTTTTTCTTCAAAAATGCATTATATTCTATAGACTATGTAAGAATATCATGATCATTGAATTTGAAATTAATTTTATTGAGTTTTTTACCACTTTCTTTTAGAGAGTCAGCATGTTTTTGAGATAAAATGATTTTATCAAGTAAAAGATTGTAAGTCATAATAAGGCTAAGATATAATGATGCAAAGTTTAAGCCAGTTACAAAATGTCTATTTTTGTGTTCTTTTATTGATAAGAAGATATAAGCATCCAGAAATAATTCTGTTTCTGTTTGCTTTAAAATTATACTGATTAAAATTCCTTTCCACCATGTATTAGCATTTAAAAGATTACTTACTTTCATTCCTATTGCAAAATAATACGTATCAAATAATGATATAAATGTTACCTCTTTGTACTCATTAATTACATTATGCTTAATCATTAATTGCTGGCAACTAAGAGCATCAATGATATAATACTCAGCTATTTTGCACATTTGGGATGAATGCTAGGAAAAAGGACTAAATCGACAAAAAAATTTATTTTGAAATAATAAATGATCTAAATCAGATGACCAAATCTACATCTATTTTACTTAGAAATTTTTTTTTAAAAAAAAAATCAATTTGGTCTATTTTCCAAGTACTCATCCTATTTGTTCAACTGTTATAACATCTGCCTCTTTTAATGTATTTCTATAATACTTAAACATATGGAAGGTTTGCTAGAAAAATGGAACTCTGAAAAATTTTTATTAAAATTTTACATTTTAATTTTTGATAATGTTAGATTAAAATACAATATATATTAAAATTTTAATAAAAAATACTCAGAGCCCTATTTTTCTAGCAAACCTTCTATATGATAAAAAGGCATATCTATTTAACTTTTTAAGCCTACATTCATTTGATAGAAGGTTAAACTACTTTTTTTAGCCTTAGAATATAATTTCATAAAGCAAGGGTGAATATCAATAGCTATACATTTGGGGATTTTAAGATACTTTGAATAGAAATTCCTATTATTAACCTTTATTGCTCTATATTGATATTGCCATTTTGTAATTTTTCGAGGATTGAAGCTTTTAATGATATTTGATTGAACATCTATTCAAGAACCTTTTAACTTTTTTGCTTTCTTCACAATAAATCTCCAATCATATTGTAAATCATTAAAACCTATTTATATGTCTAGAACTAAAAGTTTCTAACACAAGGCAAATAATTTTAGTAAATTATTCTGAGATCTGCATATAAATTGTGATTTAACGCAGGTCTGACATTTTAACATCAATAAGACATATTTGTTTGAATAGATTAGGGTTGTCTTTCTAATGAATTGACATGCAGATCATAAATACATTAGATTCATCACTCTGTGCAGTAGGGAATTTGCTTAGTTCAAGCAAACTATATACCTTTATATTCCATATGAGAATAAGAGTTTAGACTTTTGTAAATGCTGAAGAAATTAACAGATTGTTATACTTGTCATCACTTATTGAGTTGTAATTGTTCACAAATACTCAAAAAGAGAATTATTTTCTGACAGTATATATAAATAATTACTCAATAATACTCAGCTTAAAAGAGGTAATTTCTACTTTGTGATAATAGTATGTAAAATTTAGGTCATCAGAAGCAATACTAATACTAACTTCACGAATTGCCTTTAACGAATTATACTAATCAGAATGATTTTATGTCTTTACACAAATATATAACTTCTTCTTTGTATGATATTCTTAAAGTAGAAAAGTGCTAATAGTTTTAAACCTAAACTTTGATATGCTTCTGAGAATATTAAATAATATTTTTATTAATTTGGTCTTAAACATAGATAGTGGTATATAAAGTTCCTCAAAGTCGAATCAAATCAAATATTGAGCAATTTGAATTTAATTTGATTTTTTCAAATTGAATCGAATTGAATCGAATTGAACTCAAATATTTGATTGAATCAATTTGAATCGATTTGAATTTGATCGAATCAAATCAAATCAAATTGATCAAATCGAATATAAATTTTTTTTTAATTTTTACAATGATATATTAAAATAAAGTTATTCTAAAGTTTTAATTAAGAAAA